CATTGTATTGATTTATTCTCATCCCCTATCCAAACAAGATTTCACTGCCCAACTAACTGCTTACTGATAGTTAATATTTAATCGTCGTCGGCTTTGAACACATGCAGGTATTAGAGATTTGAATTACTCAAATTGATTAGGCGAGAGAAATAAGGTTATCCAGCTGATGTGAACATATGGGCTAAAATGTTATGAGTAAAGTTGAATAATAATAATATTATTAGTGACAATAATAATAATAACAATAATAAGTGGAATATACGGAAGTTAACAGTTTGTACCAAATTGTTTTCAGCTAGAAAATATCCTTGATAATGGTTAGGCATATGATTAGTCTCAAACTTGAAGATAACAGCCAGTCAAAACTTTCATCGTTATCAATTATTATTTAACTTATCTGGATAATTTACCTAAACTAGTTTCATAAAATGACCATTTTAAGGCACAATTATACAAACATTAATGTTTAATCAGGTGACTGGAGGCAGTGTGTATAAACACAAGCATATTCACAAAGCGATATGGATTTCACCAGACACTAGGACACACTACACTAAAAATCAGATCGACTTCACCTCAATGTGAAGAAAGTGGAGACGCAGTCAGCCTACTGGACACAAGACCAGATAAAGAATGGGAGCAGATGTAGTTCACACCACTCACTATCTAGTGCAAGGAACCTAACCTCAAAATCAAGTTGAAAGCCTTCAAAGAAGTTGGTGATGATAGAACACAGTTCAAGTTCAACACCCAGAAACTGAAGGACAAAACTACAAAGAAAATCTTCACGTCAGTCATCAGAACAGAATGGAAGACATTGACCAACATCCCTGAAGAAACCTCCGTCGAAGAAGACACTGGAAGTCTTTGAAAGAGATGTGGAAAGAAACCTGCATAACCGTATTAGGAAGGAAGAAGAAAGAAGATAAGGAATGGATCTCGACGGACACATGGAAGCTGATGGAGCAGGGAGAGGAGGATGGTGAAGCAGAAGATAAACCAGTGCAAGGATGCACAACGAGAAGACGAACTGAACACAACCTATAAAACACTACACTGGACAAAGAAGTGAAGAAGAGTATGCACAAAGACAAAAGACACTTCTACGACACATTGGCTAGCGAAGTAGAACTGACTGCTGGTAGGAGAGACCTGACAACATTGTATCAAATAACCAGGTTACTATCTGGAAGGGAATAGATCAACGCAGACGAAACCAATGAGAGATAGTGGGGGAAAGTTAGTTACCAAAGAGGAGAAACAAAGGAAATAATGGGTTGGCCACATCAAACAACTTTTGAATCGACTACCACCTGCAACACAGTCACATAACTACAAGTGAACATAAATTCTGCGACAAAAGTCGAAGTCCTGAACCTCAGAAAGACTCTGAAATTCAGGAGAGCAGCAGGGCCAGATGGAATTCCGCCAGGAACACTGAAAACAGGCGCAGAGACATTAGCAGTGGATATACTCACACCACTATTGCAGAAGGTGTGGAAGGAAGAGAAGGCACCTGGTGATTGGAAGAAGGGTTACTTTGTCAAACTCCCGGAGAAGGGTGACCTAAGCCTTTGCAAGAACTGGAACGGAATCACTCTCCTGTCCACCCCAAGCAAGATATTAAGCCGCATCATCATGGAGAGACCGAAAGATGCGCTGGATTCACAGTTACGACTGGAGCAAGCTGGTTGGATTCAGCAAGAAAAAATCATGTGCGGACCAATTTGCAACGCGACACTACGCATCATCATAGAACAGAGTATATAATGGCGATCAACTCTCTACCTCAACTTTATCGACTTTGAGAAGGCCTTCGACAGAGTGGACAGAGAAGTAATTTGATTGGCAGTTGCTTCAACACTACGATTTTGTACCACAAACCTTTATCAACCTCATTCAACAGCCGTATACTATATGATGCTCTATGCCAAGTGATTCACAATGGTAAGGTCAGTGACCGTTTTGAAGCGAGGACAGGAGTAAGACAAGGCTGCCACCTACTATCACCCATGGTCTTCCTGACTGAGGTCAAGTGGATCATGCAGCAAGCCATGATGAGTAGGAAGATGGACTCGTCGCACAAACTCGATGATCTGCAGGCGGAAACCAACAGGTTGACATAAGAGGCAGTGAAGACGGGACTTCAAGTGTACGTGGAAAAGACGGTGGTGATGAAGATACCGAACCAACAACAGCATCAACAACAAGCACCAATTACCATTAGTTAGAGAAACCTAAAGGAAGTTGTCTCTTTAACCTACCACCTAGGCACCATCCTTTCAACTACAGGTGGCGGCACAGACGAGGATGTCAAAACCAGGGTCGGAAAAGTAAGACGGGCTTTCACTAATCTGAAATCAGTATGGAGATCTACTGCACTCAGCACAAAGAATAAGATCCGGACTTTCAACACCAATTCAGTCAAGTCAGTGCTTCTATATGGTTCAGAGACTAGGCGTGTCACAAAAAGCACTTCCAACAACTATGGACATTCATCAACAGATGCCGCCTGCCCTCACTCGACACTGAAGATCAAATGGCCAGAAAGAATAAGCAACAATGAACTCTGGCTAGCTGACAACGAACCAAACAAGAACCTATCGCCCAACAAATATGCAGAAGGAAGTGGAGATGGATTGGATTGGACATATACTGAGAAGGCCAACTGGAGATATCACGCGCCAGACCAGGCCGTCGAGTGGAATCCAAAGGGGGAAACGACGAGTTGGGCGTCGGAGGCGAGGGTGACATGGCGATGATGTGAGGAAGAAATGAAAGTTTGTGGGCAGTCGCGGAGTGAGGTTCAAAAGACTGCAGAGAACAGATCGGAATGGAGACGTGCATACTGAAGCCCTATGTTCCATTAGGAACCCAAGGGAAAATAATAATAACAATAATAATGATAATAATGCTTACTCAAACACAAAATATTTATCAAGTTAATTGTAAGTATTGTTGAGTGCTGTCGATTAAAAGCTGTTTACTGGATTACATTTCGGACAAAATTTATCGTACGTAGTCATATCAAGATAACTACACAACTTTGAGTTATTTTTTATACAGTCCTAATTTCCTAACCCCTGTTATTGTGTTGGTAGTAAGATTTTCCATGTATCCGGAACAGGCGCTGAGTCATCCCTGTCGCATGTATTCGATGTTGGTTGATTCGTCAAACAAAGATTCAGTCATCAATCTCTCAATCCTTCTATGTCAATTTTAATCGTGTCCCATCCTATTATTTAGTTGTGTGTAATTGCATGCATAGGATCTACCAATTTGATTTAGCCAGATTTTTGTGCTCGAATAACCTTATTGAACCTAGTCGACTACTTTGACTTATGTATTTGATCTCGAAATCATTGCAAGAGACTTGGTAAACTAAGTTATTCTACTTAATTGGATCAATATTCTTATATCAACTTTTGGCATATCAGCTGAGAAATTTTATGTGATTATCTTGACTCTATATATATCGTTATTCTCTCTTTAGTTCGCTCATCAACTTCGTAGCTTATAATAAATAGCCTTTAGATGTTATAAACATATATTGCTTGATTTACATAATTTTGGTGTACATAAGACTATTAATAATTCTTAGAAGGGTACCAAAATGAAATGAAAAGGCTATAAATTAAAAAGTATGAAAACTCGTGTACTAAAGTTCATTCTAACTATCCTACGCTTTAACCTAGAAAATCATTCTAAGTATATAGACTAGGATTGAAATTCTTCAGTGAATCAATTCAAGGTGATCTGATATTCCTGTATTTTTCGTAGATACCTCAAGGAAGTTCTGTATCAGAGAATCACTTTACAGATTATTGATTGAAAATACTTCTTATTTTATTTAGTTATAATTTCAATGAATCATTCATACTAATGAAATCAATATAGACTTTTCATCAGTGTTACTGCTAGTGGCATTACGTTTCGGTGAAACGTGTACTTACACATTCATAAGCAATATGGTTCACCTTAATATGCTACTACTTATCTACAGACACAAGTCAAAAATTGACATCTTGGATAGCTTACCATATTGAAGCATCGTGTTACAAGCTATGAGTTCAAAATAAACAGTGGTGATAATAGTCACAGTACATGCCAGACACAAGCTATGCTACTTACTAATAAAAGGTAGTATGGTGATCAAAGGTGAAACTAATTATTTTGCGTCACTGATCAATGTATAACCGTGAAAGTTTACGAAAATTTAGCCTGTATGACGGTAGCAGCACACTGAACTGAAACTGATACAAAACAACCGTAGAATAACAAGTAAAAGAGTGTAGCAAGTAACTACGACACACAATCCTTGCTGATCTTTGTCCAAACAGATTCAACATTAGTTGATCCTTCAAAAGACTAACTTCTTTGGATCCCTATAAACTAAGGGTTCAGAGTTAAATTTTCATGCAGTCAAAGTATATTCGGTTGGATAAACACCATAAATAAAGTTAGTATTTCAAAAACATGTTGAAACCATGTTTACCAAGACAAAAACCTGTACTAATATACCGACGAAAGCGAAGTAGCTGGTGAGAGCAAAGTGAAAATCCTGTGACCTCTAACATGCTTGTTCAAAATATATTCGAATAGTTATTGACATCCGCAGCCAGAAGTGAGATATTTTAGCCTAAATGATGAGAACAATTTTTCCGCATAGTAACAGGATCCCCACGCATATCTATTAAGCGTTTTTGCTAACGAAACAAATTCTTTGGAGGCTCATAGGTAGCTTAAAGATATTTAAACGTTTAGAGTTAGCATTTTATGCGGAAATTCACTTTATATCCTAATTTCATATTGTTGTTAATATTTCTCTTTTAATCAAGCAGTGACTAATTCATAGTCCAATCTGTGTGACATAAAATGCCTAGTACATTATCTAGCTCACAATGAGCCTCCAAACGAAATTTCAACCAATGAGCTGTCAGCAATATTGGCTGAAAATAATATATATTCTTCCGACAACTTCATATGCCGAGAAATTTGTCTCTTGCTGTATGCAAATTTGGTTGGTCTCCTCTGATTGGCTGGGCTGGGTTTATGACCTTGAGAGTTTGCAATGACAATAATTGTTTTTCTGCTTGACAACAGCGCAGCAATGAATCAGCGCACATTTCAAGGTACTACGCTACTGGATGTTGCTAAGTCTGCTACGGAGATTTTCTTCAAAGTTTGTTGTTTGTTTCTAGCTTTGACTATTCATAGGTAAGAATGAGTAAGTCAAGAGTAGATCGTTACTTCGTCCTCACTTTGAATGCTGAGCCAAATTATATCAAGGTATATTCCCACTGATTCTATAATTATTACAGCTTACTGGGTGGAAACAAAATGTTGATCTTCAGTTACTTCATTCCGCTTTAAATAACATTAAACCAGATGGACAAATTGATTTATCAACGGGAATACAACGAACATTTCGCATGCTTAATATCAATAGACTACAACTGGGATTGGAAAATTATGGAATGGTATTTATCGCCTATCTTTTGATTATTTTTCAGGGAATTTATCCATCATGTATCGAACCTGCTGTCGTAATATGCATTACGGGTAGTGTCAACGCATGCTATCTGAATGAACATGTTAAAGTAAGTCTGTGTTGATGTTTCTTGTAAAAACCTGTAGGATGCTTCTATGGCTTCTGTAGAATCAGCTGTTTTGGGAACTGTTTTGACTAAGGATCCTTACCGTTGGGATTACCGTCTCTACTCATTAGTACTGCGTTACCCGGCGTTTGTTAGTAACCTTTCTGCTGGTAATTTTCCAAAACCGGAAATAGACTCACCACTTAAAAGGTTTACCGAAGAAACTGGTGGTGAGAACTTTGATGTCTATGATGGTCGAGAACTTCATCAGTGTATTGAGTCACTTGTTGCGAAATGTCAACCAGCTGTAGTTTTAAAAGTACTAAAGTCCGGTGAAAATGTGGGTGGTGATTCTTATGAAAAACATATAAGGCAGCTTATGATAGTCAAATTAATGGGAAGAGTATCTTCTTGGCCAATCCCAGAACCTTTTTGGGCCGAAGAAGAAACGATTACATCTCAGTTGGTAAGTCAGAAGTTACTTTACATCTCCATTGCAGCCCTCTAGGAGTGCTCATCCTGAAATCCTTGTGTCAAAAGTTGCTGTGTCCGAACCTGAGTTACCGGAGTTCTTCCCCGTAGATCGATATGAACTAGTACCATCGTGCTTTACAAAGGAGTTGTTAAACTCATCAGAACAAAATTTGGTTTGGCGTTGCTTTAGTTGTGGTATCAAGAAGAACCAAAGTGCTCCGTTCGGTTACCTGAAGGCATCTAACGATTTACAGTCAGTACATCTACATGTTCTTCCCTACAACTATCCAGTTTTCTTGCAGCTTCTTGGTAAGTTAAGTCAAAAGCAAGTGTCTAGAATCTTTAGCTAACATCTGTGATCATAAACGCATGACGGAAACATGGGGACATCAGTTCGTAAATTACCTAGGGAGCATACCAAAATACTATTTTATGGTAATTTTACTATTATTTTATTCCTGTATAAAGCCTTTATCTAAATCTTTTGAAAGAATAGGGTTCGCCGGTATGATCAAACCGGAAGCTATTGATCGTGCACTTCCATATCAGTTAAAACATTCTTTGCAGAAGCTTCGTCATTCAGCTAAAATGGAATATGATAATTTCGTGCGTTTGACTCAAGGCGACTGTGCAGTGAATTTATCAGTGACTGTAAGTGGTTCCTATAAATATTTCAGTTTTTTTAGTTGCCGCCAGCTCTGCTTCCATTACCATTATGGCCACTACGAGAATTTAAATCTGTGTACAACAAACCTCAACGGTCACGATTAAACTCCTGTCTCCGACCATGCAACATATCTCGATGCAAGCTTCGCATAGTTTTGGGGAGAATGAGACACGATCTTGATAATCTACTAAGTGGAAAGGTAAACAACCGATCTGACAATCTGTCCCATCAACAACCGGTTGCCTTGATGGGTGACTACGTAAACTATAGGAATACTCGAGATATTGAGGCACCTTTGCGAGAAATAAATCCAAGTCCTGAACGTTCAGACACATTTGGGAACCCATTTCGCCGAAAATCTACTTCTTTCATTGCAGATGAAGGTTTCGTTGATGAAATGGATTCTCTGCATTTAAATTCTTGTAGTCCGAATACAGCATTGCTCAATCACGCACGGAGGAAGTCTGCACAAGTAACAAAAAGTCCCCAAATGAGGACCAAAGGTAAGAGACAGCTTACTTGATTGACCTTTTCAGGTCCCCTACCCTCTTACATTAATCACATAAACTGGAGGTGTTTCTCACCAAAGTCATCACCGTCATCATCTCCAAGGTCCACTGAAGGGGTTTCTTCTGATGAGAAATACAATGGGATCTCATCTCCTGTATATACTGAGAATTCTTTCTCATCAACTGAACATATTTTTCCGAAGTCCACTAATCAGCCTGTCTTTGAGCTCTCAGATATGAAGACGGCTACTTCATCACCATTGGAAGCTTTCAAATTCAACAAACAGATCGTGCAGGAATTAATTCGTCTCGTCAGGCAACCCTATTCCAGTGAGTTTCTTTTAATTTGGATTTATTCTATTTCTGTTTCGACATCTAATGTGGTTATTTTTCACTTAGTAGATACAGTTGTATTATTCGACCGAATGAATGAACTTACTGGTTCAACAGGACAGAGGGATGCTGTTGTTTCGATTTTGATGTCAGAAGCATTGCGATTCAGGAGATCATGTTTATACTTGTTGTTAAACGATTGGCGGACATGGATGCTTCGAAGTAGCAATTCAAAAGATCGTGTTCTTTTGCAGGGGCCAAAACAAGTGTCTACTAAAATGAACCATATTGAGTTGAATGGATGGTCTTGATTACCTCCACACTTACTACAATCCCGTTTGATCATTTTTGTACAAACTTGTCCATATCATTCTTCCAGATGTAAATAACCGAAGATGTAACATAATTTTCTCCTTGTAAATGGTTGATAGTCGTCGTGATTGTGAAAGACTGATGTATAAAGCCATTACTTAAAGAGGTTTAAATCATATCAATTTGTACATTGGTTAGTTTCTACGCTTAAAATATAATCAGACAAGTACCAAATTCTATATTTCTAATTGTCATTGGTTATATATGTCGCTTATGGTGTCTTCGACATTAGTTTTAGGTTCAACTGAACTGTAAATGGTGCTCATTTCCGGTGGACAGAAATTCGACTGCAAGAAGTTGTCAGTAAATACGTTTTTTGAATGGTTTTCATCAAACCCTCACATAAAATGCATGGCGGAAGATTTCAGGAAGAAACATCCAACCGAAGTTCATGATAGTTTTACTTCTGTTTATGTCCACCAAGGGGAAATGGCTACTGTACCATTAAAAGTAACCAAAGGCTGTGCAACAGACAGAAATCTCCCGGAGTATTTGTCTTCCGACGACGCAACATCTTGCTACATTGTCATTTTGCGCTATGCAACTGGCTGCTCCATAGGACATCTAGATACCCCTCTGCGGGCGAAATCATTCTTCAGTAAATCTGAGCAGATTTTACTTTCCGAAAGTAGTGATGCTTGTATTGGAGTTCACATAGTCGGAGGATTTCCAGATCCACAAAAACTTTCAGAGTCAACTCTGGGTGAGATACTGTCATTACTGGTTCGTACCAACCATACCTATGACCTCCGAGTATGCTGTATTGCAGAGAATAATATTCGAATTTTTAACGGGATTAGACTTCCTTTAGTAATGGGTGTTAACTACCACATCAAAACAGATCAAGTCGACCCAGCTCGCATAAGTTGGAAAGCCCGGGGGCCTGTCCCAGCTTTGAGACTTTCACGCTTAAGTTCTTATTCAGGTGAGATAACCAATGTTTTCGACCCTGAGAACTGCTTTCTGTGTGTGAGCCCCTTCGCTTACGTACGTCTTACTTCTATGAACCCTGAAATAACGTATGAAGAAATGCGGACCAAATCCACAACACCTGATCAAGAACCTCAAACTTATTTCGAAGGTCAGGCTGCAGTGCACCATTTAATGTTACACTGCTATGATTCATTGAGTTGGTTTAAAGCTGGTCCTCTAATCTTCCGATGCACTCTGGATTCAAATAAGCCATGGATTCCTGTAAATGAAGCTTCTGCATTTGCATCGGAAAATCCCCTAACAAATGTCGAAATATAACTGAACTAATAACATGTTTTCTTTATATTTCACGTACAAAGAATAAATAAACGAATCTTATTTCTGTGACCCCTTTCCATGCTATGAATCTAAAATGAACATAAGCACATTCCTTTGAGATCTCTTAAGGCATTTATTATTGAAACAAATGAGGAAACCTGGCAGAAATCAAGTTGATATAGTGGAAATGAGTATGATGAGGAGTAAAACACTTTCAAATGTTAAGAGGATATATGTAAATACATTTTGAGCAAAGGCTATTTGATGCGCCTATGTACATTAAAACCGTAACTGATAGTCTTTTTTAAAACAGAAACATGGTAATTAGAGGTAAGAACATGAATGTGAACAGTGAACGACAAGATGCTGAGTTGTAAGGGTGTGAAACGATGTCTTCTTTTCCGTAGAGTGGTCCTTCTACACTATATTCACGTATAAGTAATATTGGTGAGACGGGTTGACCTGGACTCAACTTTGCTGGGACCCAAACTTCAGGGGGTGGGAGAGGTGGGTGTGGGAGGATTTCGGGTGCATTTTCGACACGTGGAGTTAAAGGTGGTAATGTTGATTGGATCGGTGACTGTAGTTTGGGGGTGTCTTCAGGTAGTGGGTTTTGTGGGACTTCTGGACTGTCTCTCCCGCTACCTTCAAATGCGTCATGCCATTGTGACGAACCAGCTAAAATGGAAATAAGTAAGTTAGTCTTTACTCGTTCATGATGCCAAACATCATTAACATTTACAACGAATACTAATTTCATTTTTTTGAAATCACCAATATAAGAAAACATCATACTTACTATGGAGGTTCTCCTTATCTTCGTCCCAGTTGGTGTTTGGGCTCACTCCACTAGCTCTCTCTAAAAATCCTGAGGCTAGCTTATCAGGAGGGGTATTCCAAAGCGCTGAGTTTCTATGGTCCTCTGCTGGTTTGTGTGTGCTTGGATAGAAAGGCATTTTCTTATCTGGCTGGCGGTTAGAATAACTAATATCCTCATTATAACTAAATTCCGGGGCGCTGGGGTCCACAGACTCCCCTTTGGTCGGTGGCCACATGTTTTGTGATCCTTGATACTGTGGAATGTAAACTGATTTGCCGCCACTACCTTGTTCTCCAGAACCCTGTAAATATAAGGTAAACAGCGTTAATCATGCTGACTTGCTAAAATTAAGCACAAAAATGACTACCAACGGATGTTTGAATATCATTGTATATATAATGATAAATATGATGGGGTGAGGCTGTGACCCACAAGTTCAGAAGATCAACCTATAGATTATAGCTTCAGATTCCTCTGAGCAACCATGCAACAACTCTTAACCTCTTACGACAAGTGCCGTACAACGAGTTGTACATGCTTGATGAAATCCAAGTGTGCGCAATAACGAATAGAATATTCAAAGTGTACTACTATACCAGTGTTGAATACTGACTTTCTGTATTAGTTAAGCTTTTATGATTGAATTTTCCGTTGTTTTTTTGCTTTGAGAAATAGGTTCTTATGATGCGATTCAGCATAGTGTTTTTTGCAGCGAAGTGATCATAAGAATTGATCGTCTGACTTTTTATTTGATTCTGGCTATCGTAACAGTTGTTTCTAGGATGCTGAAAGTTATTTGCGTTGTCAGAAGATTCATGGCATGTCAGTACAGCTATAGGACTTACCTAGCAAACTCAAAGCTAATTTACTTTGTAAAAGTACGTTCTATCTCTTCAGACGTAATTGTGCAATTTCTACGATCAACAAAAACAAAAGTAGGGATAAACATTCAACATCTACACTAACGGATAAGAAACTGGGATTACTGCTTATCGATTTGTTTGGACACACTTTTAATCAAAGTATTAGGAGTAAATCAGCAAGATAACCAAGTCAAACGTGGTAGGAAACCATAGAATAAAAAGGAAAAAAGGATGTTAGGGATAGAGACATCCTTCAAGAAGAAAATAAGGCGTGCCAAACACTCAGTTTTTTGTTCAACGTATTCAGAAGACCTTGCATTTTGTTAGCATTTCACCCAGCAGGCAAGTATCGTTTGCATAATCCGAGTCAACCAGATGGCCTCCATAGTGTAAGTCAATCCCTGAGAAGTCAGATATACCTAAGATCATGTCCATCAGTACGTCTGTAACGAAGTTAAATAGAGACGGACACCACTGGTTGTCGTCACCTCTGATAACAACTCTCCCTACCCCCTTATACGACCACGTGAGTTCGACTAGAGAGCTTTGACAAGCATTATATGCTTGCTCAGTACTCCCTTTACAGTCAGCCACAACATCTCACGATCGACAGAATCAAATGCCGCCTTCAGGTCGAGAAATATGGCAACTGTTGGCCGGTAAGTATACCTGTGCTTCATTACCTGTAAGAGGGTGAGAATCTGATCGTTCCACCCTCATCCGAGACTGAAACTGACCTGCTTTTATTGAGTTTGTTGTTCTCGGGCTTCAGTTAGGCATTGGATAACTATGGACCATCGGATCTTAGACACAATATTGGTCAAACCAATCCCCCTACAGTTATCACAAGAAGACTTCTCTCCCTTCTTGTACACTGGCATGATCAAAGAAGCAGATCAGCCTAGTAGGACCACTTCAGATTCCCATATACTACCTATGTTGATGATGATATACTACCTAGTACCTGCGTTACTTTACTTAGTAACTTCCTGCCTTCATCCTTAAAAATGGCAGTCCAAGCTTCTTTGCATCGCTTTAGGTAAGAAACAGCTTTCCCAACTTCGAAGGGAGTTGGAGAACCGACATCTATCTCCCATCCACGCCAAGGCTGGATGGTAGGCCAGCTGAACTAGGCTTTAAATTGTTCCGTCCAACGTTCTAGCCATCTATCCTGATGGGTTATTAGCGTCCCATCTTTCTTGGTGATGGTTTTTACAGCGTGACGATTACTACTTCGTTCACACAAAAGCTTAGCTATCTCCTCTCTAAATGCATGCTTTGCGTTCTCACCTGATCAAGAACACTTTAGCTTCACTACCGTCTATTTTATACGACCAGTAAGGCGCAGATATGTACATGGCCGCACTAACGCGTGGTCGCAGTCCAAACAGGTACTCCAGAAAAGATGGTAATACTCCAATGATGGTTCACAATCTATCTGTGTCCATCGTTGGTTTGATGTCGGCGGACGCCATGTGTGACAGTGTCTCTTCTTATGTCTAAAGTTAGAGCTCGCCGGAAACGAGTGATTGTCAGAACAATTGCAACAAACGATCACCGTTGTTGGTTTGTTGGCATGGGATTCCGTAAATGCCCCCAAACGCCGGCTGGCTCAGCTTTCCTCAGGGTTAAAGTCACCTGTTACTATGAATATCTCTGAATGTTTCGTTTTCTGTAGCAAAGTTGACAGCTTCTTATAGAATTCATCAGTCGCATCGTCCGAACTGCAGTTGCTGGGCGCATGGGCGGAGGTTATGGATAAGCATCCATTGGTCTCACGATCCTTCCTAGTCCTCATAGATCCATTCACTCGAACAGCACATGACTGTTGAGTGGTATTCTCTCGAAAGCGCACTTTCTGCCCTGTAACTCAATGCTATGCCTATGTCTACACCAGCGAGGCTACGACAGCTAGCCATTAGGTCTCCGAATAGGGTGAATTTTGAAGATTCACCATATTGGCGAGGTGAGGTCAATTTAATAACCACATTCAGGTCCTGTGTGTATGTCTCACAGACAGCATACATCTGTGGCTCAAGATTCTAGAGTTGTGACAAGAGATGCGTGCTTTCTAGTTCGACATAGGGTTTGGACACGGAAGGATCTAGTGTAAAACAGATAGCGAGGTCTTAGGAGACCAGGAATGGTGTTTCGCTAGCTTGGATGGTTGGTAATAGACCCAGAGTGAGAGGATAAGGAAGTTATAAGAGGTTCAATTTTGGTATCAGAAAGTGAAGGCAAAGGAAGAGACGAAGGTAAGGACGGTCAGTTTCTGGCTGATTGGGTTTCATATACTGCCGGAAGCGTGCAGGCAGTAGACACCACCCAGCTAGTTCTCCATGAGATACCTGAGAAAAGAGTTACTGGGTGAGCACAGAGCCCAGGAGAAATCTGTTTCAAGCCGGTCATACACGACCTTTTGTCTGCTTTTTTCGAATCCGACTATGAACCCACATCGCCAGCACCAGTATGCCACCGGGTAGGAGGGGGTGTGCTACTTTTAGCGACAACCATTCCCAAGCACCCTTACACACATGAACCGCAGAGATATTTCCTTGAGGCCTGTCACACACAGTAATCTCAGGATTAGTGGGATGAGGTTTGATTGTTCGAACGCCGGATAGAGATAAGCCATATCGCTGGAGTCGAAAGACCGTGCAGCGAGGAAAGTGCGGCTATTTTGAAAGTCGACCTTTCCTAATCCTCCCTCCTGTAGAGAAGAGAGTATCAGCATGGCACTGCTGGTCATCCGATGGAAACAACTTACTACTGCCACATCACCATTCCGTCGGGAGCACGGTTTCGCCAGCAGACGCCCATCATAGTGTAGCAATTTACGTCGTAATGGTAACTTTTTCATCTTACTAATATCCAAAAGATCTTTCTGGCATGGCAAGACAACAAGCTTTCCAGCCAATGTAGCTCGTCGGGTCACTGTGATATACAAGCTCGACCGCCACGTCGAGGTAGCAGGTATCATTCTGGGTTCACTGGGTATTTCAAGTAAAAAAGAATATGGAGATACGGGAACCTGTCAGTGGAGATACCAATAATAGGCCTATCAAGGCTTTAGTAATTCCTTTTTACGAAACGACAGTTATTAGAGGATCCACATATATACTCAGAAACGTACAAACCTCGTACTGATGATATAGCTATCTATTCGGGCAGTGAATAAAAATCTTTCATAATTCTTTTGAAGTTTGCAAGCATAGATCATCTTTAGCACCAGTGAGATATTTGAATACCTATTACAGGACAGGCATACTGCAGTATGTCCTGTTAGTTGCCTGTGCGAGATGGCTGCTGAAAGCAGGTGTGAAGAGATGGTCAGTTTTTGACCACAAGTGTCTCCGTAGCATTATTCACACGTGATCGGATCACCATGTGAGCAGTCTCCAGGTTAGACCGAGTTTACTACGCAAGAAAAACAAATCAGCCGATGAGATAGCTTGGACACTTGTTACACATGCCCAGCCATCATCTATTTCGACTAGTGAGATGTTAGCTAATGTAAGACTGGGTTAGAAAAAAGCTTAGACTAGTCAAACCAAGACTTGACACCAGCCCATGAAGTCTGTGACTGTTGATCTGAACCGTGCAGGGAGGTGTGCTACCTCACTGTCGTATCTGAGGTATTAGGAACCAATGGTTGAGGACTCTTGATGAAATGTCTGAAAATCGGTAGTAAGGACAAAGATACATACAATCCTCGTCACCTTCGAAGTTTTGAACAGTTAGACTAACCTTTATTTATCCATTCCCTCTCTCCTGATACATATTTGTCTGCCTGAATATCATTTTCCTAAGCTCTTCTCCCTTGTATGCTGCTGTGAAATGTGGCAAGTTGAACAGATGGATGTCCGTGCCAGGTTACATGTTTTTCTGTCTGTAGCCATGAATTTGCCTATAGCTGTATAATGTGTGGTGTGCAGCACACAAAAGCTGGGAACTACTACAGTTTATTTTTCACATAACACGTACAAAAACTTTTATAATCTAGCTAGAAGACAAGATAGACACTACCTCCTAAATAATGCCATGAGACGGAATTGAACAATTATACATCAAACTAAAGATAACTTGAATGTGACACTAGGAGCTTCGTAACATAAAATTAACAATCAATAAATACCATTCAAAGGAATTGGACTGACAGTTTCAACACTTTAAACCTTTAGATGAAGATATCTTTGGTGCCAAAATGCTTGGATTTGTTTCCCATAATGACAACATCTAGCGCCTATTATGAATACAAGTAGGAACGTCATTATCAACCAAAACAAAGGTAAAATGAGAAACTGTTCTACTGTAAAAGTAACTGGGATAGGTCCGTCCACATATCCATTACAAGGGTTTAGAAAATAATTTTAGAAGTAAGAGAGGGGGAATTCATGAAGACAACCAGACAAAATTTTACACTTACCTCCTGGAAAGGTCTTTGTGCAACACTGGAAGGTCGATGCCAAGAGTTAGCATCTTGAGAATTAGAGGTTTGAAAAGGCATTTGTCTGGATACTATTTGTGTGTTGTCCTCATCATCCGGTAAAAATCCAAACCTGTTTGGTTGATCGGTGGAAGGTAACAGTGAATCTGTGAAAGAACTCAATCTCGAAACTGCTTCAGTGTAATGCTGTGTTGTACTGGAAGGATGTTTATCTAATTCGGAAGCTGTAGGTACAATGAGAGGTGTACGCAGTGTGACAGGTTCAGTAGGAACATCCTTTATTGCAACAGATGATAAACTTTCCGTTTCATCTGAGGTAGTCGATGTTGAGACCACCTGTGTGGATGTAGATGGTAAAACAGTAGAGGTGGTGACAAGAGGTGGAGCGACAGTGGTAGTTGTTGTCGTAACCACAGTGGCTATCGTCGTTGCAGTTTCAGTTGTGAGTTCCTGAAAGATAGGTATATTCAGATCTGTCGTTCCACTTGATTCCCAATTATTTCTATCAATTCCAGCGCTATCCCAATTACTGTATGAACTAGGAGGTTTATGAGGCCATTGTTTTGTAGCTTTTTGATTAAAGTACTGCTTAGAATCTGTGGTTTGATCGGTTCCAGTTCTTTTATTCGTGTGATCCAAAGCAGAACTATATACGCTAGTATCCTTACTGCTATGAGGATCTACTGGAAACATATTGATGAACTGATTAGACGGTTGTTCATAAGTTTGAGAAAGTGTACCTCCTGGATATTGTAGAGTATTTGGTTGACCCCCACTCCCACTCTGCTTTTGAAATAATAAAATGCAAAACAATAGGTTTTGGAACCCTCAATGACAAATAAAACAGCCGTATTTCTTATCTAAACTGAGTTTGGGCATATATTCGTAGAATAATAATTTACCGAAAACATATGTTGCCTGCATACCTGAAATTCAACAGAACTGACTGCAGCATGAAGAAACTAGAAATCTGCGGACCAGTATAACAGAGAAAAATCCCCGAAGTCTTCATGATCAAGGCTAGAACGTTTGTAAATATGTTAAACAGTAACGATGGGAGTGGGTTCCACGTGGGCATTAGGACCTGTCATCATTTCAGACGACTACTCTCTGTTATCTCTTATGCAGCTACGTCCGTTCGAGTAGAGTCTTGATTGGGATTACATACTTATTAAGCACTCTTTTCGGAGTCACACATTGTCGCAACACCTCTCGATCGACTGAGTCGAAAGCTGCCTTCAGTTCAAGCAATATGGTATTTCATTATAAACGTTTATGGGGATCTGATTGATTTCAAAATGGTATTCAACACGGACTGACATCAATTGGAGAACCATTCGAAACATAAGAGCACTAATTTGAGAGGAGATATTCCAAGGTTACAATAAGAAGGAGTAACCGGTGGGGGCAACCAAGTCGAACGTGAAGAAAAATACTAGACGATGGGATTGTAGGTAAACAGCGATGTATCGCAAATTGAAATAAGTAGGAAAATGCCGATCATTTGACTTCAACACACTGGTTCAATGGTAACGTGGTTGTCATGAAACTTGAGGCTCCTGAGTTCGGTCTGCGACGGCATCGAGGGCGCAGATTGTTGAGGAGTCCCACACCGGGACGAAATAGCTCCAGGTTTTCCACGACTCTCCAAATGATTTCAGTTCATAGTGAATACCATTTTGATATACGTTACGCCTCGGATGCCGGTAGTTATGCTTATGTTGCAAAACCTATCAAAAGCATGAAGATCCGATCGATATACCCTCGTTCGCTTTTAAAATCTGCCTCACTTTTTTGAGCTTCAGTGAGGCATTGGATAACTATGGGTCCTAGGATCTTAGATCTAATGTCGTAGTCAAACTGAATACCCTGTGGTTGTCCCCCAACTTTTTATCTCCTTTCCTATGAACTGGACTGTTCACAACTACCTAGACCAGTTTGATGGCGTTGCCTCTGATTTGAATACACTACTTAGCACTTCCACTAATCTACTGAGTAACTTTACACCTCCATTCACAAATATCTTCCGGTGGAAAGCCATCAGATCCTGCTGGTTTATGTCGTTTCAGGTCTGGAACAGCCCTTTTAACTTCAAGAAGAGTTATAGGATCCACATCAATGTCCACTTCAGGTTCCGACTAAATACTGAGCAACTGGTGTGGTTTGTAAACAGTTGAACTGTTCTTCAAAAGTTTAGTCCAGCATTCTAGTCGCTTGTCTTGAGATGTGATCAGAGACGCATGCTTTTCAGAGACCATTTCACTGGCCCACTTTTCTCCCTGCATAAAGTTAAATAACCATCGAGTGTTGCCGAATGCTGATGTCTTCTGCATTACCTTCCCATTCACCACCAACTACTGCTGACGGTCATCGCACACACTCTTAGTCGATTTTCATCCAAGTTGCTTCTTCTCTTCGTTGTGATCAGACAGCTGGAATGAGTCTGCCCTCATCAACGATTTTGTATTAGGTTGTGGAAACCCACTGGCTTTTATCTATCAGTTGTTTTTACGACTATGCCTACAGCAGACTTTGTCAGGATGAGAATTTCTGTCATGTTTTTAGAATCAACAGAAAAGTCAGTGTTTACGAATAAGAATGAATTTAGAACCATCTCAAACATTGGAGAGTAAGTAAGAAATACGTAGTGAATTTTTCTTACAACTTCAGCATGAAATCTAAATAAAAAGTGAGACCAGCTTAGGCCTACCTCAATTCCTAAGCTCCCCACAGTTTCATATGGATTATGCATCCTTGATTGACTAGGACCTTGCCATTGATCTTTTGCAAGGAATTGATTCGCTGTAAGTGGGTCATTCATTAGATCAGACGACAAAGGGTCAATTTGAGGGTTTCTAGAATAAGTATTTGAGAAAGAATTTGATCGTAAAGGCGGCTGAACAATTAACGTGTCTGGATCCTTGGTATTTGAGGAGGCATCGTACAATCGTCTAGAAGCTTCATACAGTTGAGCCAGAATCTGTGTGATTCCTGGATTGGGAGCCGTACTAAATATAAGTGCAAAAAAAATATAAACTAGATGAAAAGGACATAAATATTTGTAAAACAATTGCAATCATTCAGTAATTATGTTTATATGACGTGATGTGAAGTAACGTACAAAATCGATAAGTTCATCAACTGTGTAGTGTAGCACATTGAGTATCGTACCACTGAAATGGATGCAAAACATAATCTTTGTATTTTTAAAAGCGTAGAAAAAGATATTCACGATACAGTACCCATGCGTTGAATATATATTAAACTATTTATTACCATGCTTGTTATTCTCCGTTGTTTTGTTGGATTGAACTGTTCAACCACTATCAGCATATGGGCTCCTATGAGGATGCCTTGATATTGCCTGAGTGTTAATTATGATAATTTGGTTGGTTATGGCTAGCAGAAGGATCCAGGATGTGCGTTTCGTCCTATTTTGGACTCGTCAGCTGGGTGTACCTGCACCCAGCTGACGAGTCCAAAATAGGACGAAACGCACATCCTGGATCCTTCTGCTAGCCATAACCAACCAAATTAACATTTTTAAACTGTTAATCAACTTTTTTTCAAAGTGAAATGAGCTATTATTACCAGTCTAGTTCAAACCATACCAAATGGACTGTATCACAAATAATATTTATGACATCGCTATAGAATCCCTACGGTAGTTTTCATATGATCTCTAAGTAGAGATTGATTAACCTACTGGATAACGTTTTGGTATCTGAAACTATGGATGCTGGTTTTAAGTCTTTGTGGGAACACCCACTAAGTTAACAGGAGGTAGGTAACTTCCAGGTGACAGATTACAAAGAGAACGAAATGACTGTGTTTGGTTCCCACTGCTGGCTATTACCGAACAAGCTACTTTCAAATCCGTTAAATTACTGTCATTTACAAGCACTTCCTTCAAACCTCAAATAGGTATTATGATTTTATAATTGGAATTTTGTTCTTCTCCTTAAAATGCTTCATCATCATTGAATGCTAATATCATAGAACAGTGTTACACAGTAGTATGTATATCTCGTTCATACCATGTGACCTTGACCAGATAATTTCTGACAGCAACCTTAATTAACCCCACAGTTAAAAAACTACTCAGTTTATAAATTGATGATCCAATTTTACGGCACACCGATACATTCATGCCAGTTAAGTGGATGTATTTAGGCGGAACAATTCCGCTGTGTGAGTTGAACATCAACTTACTGGAAAGGAAACCTGAAATGAACAGTATGCTAATTATTGAAGTTAGGTTTCACTAAGCAAGAAAAGAAATCTAGTTCATTCACTATGCACAAGAATTTGAACAGACGATGAAGAGTCACAAGTGCTTTAAAGTGTTCATCGTGAATGATTATCCTTTAGAATTCGTTGAGAGAAATATGAAGACTAGTCAATACCAAGAACGAACTTCTTTGGTTCCAAACAAAACCTTATTTATAGGTATTGGACTTAAGGGAAATACAATAGCAGAGATACTTCAAAATCGATTGCACAAATCACTGAAAAGGACCTTTTTCTCCCTATAACTTTGGATTTTTTTCTCCAGTCAACAACTGATTCGGCAGTGTGTGTGTGCAATACCTCCATGTGTGTCTACCGATTAAATTGCTTTTGTAGAGCTGGTTACATAGGCTGCGCAACGAGCGTTCTATTCAAAACGTATCTCTGAATACTATCAAGTATAGCTACATAGAAGAGAGTTTTAATCGATTAATAGATCGATTTTTGAACATCTGGTCTCCTTACTTCATCAAAAGTTTCTTTCAAAGTCATTTATAAAGTCAAATCAAACATTTCAAAGGGAGTCTAGACTCATAATTTGAACATAATAGAAATTTTAGCAACTCATCAGTTCAAGGCTGATCTCTACGTTTAAGAGGTACATCCAATTTCTAATTTTATCTACGTCATAATCTCTCTATAACTTTTTTCATTTTATTCGTCAACACTATCATTTTTGTCACCTTTCCTTAATATCCTATTTTCCCTATCTATTCTTTTACTTCATGGATTATTACGCAATAACCTTGTAATCCTATAAACAATTTTTGACGATCATGTGTTGATTGAACGTATAGTTTTGTTGTAACTATAACTACGAATGTATGCCATCCAAAAGTGCTTTTCTTAGCTGAACTATCTTTTATTTTCAAAGCTACTTCTTCACTAAATTAGTGCTGAACATTTCACTAAGCCATGCAAGAAAACGTCCATGACCATTTGTTGATTGAATTAAAGATTTTATTTACATACTTCAAAAAAAGATAATCTTAATTTCTTTATCAAGGTAATCAACATGAGAAACGATGATTTAGTAGGAATACATGTACCAACCAATAAAATCACATTATCAGTTTCGCTTATCTGCTTATCAGAAAATAATACCACATTCTGCAAGCTAATTATAGAAGATGTGTTCATGAAGTTTTTCTCTCAGTTAGCCTTATTCTTTGCATTTTCTCTGAAGTAGTTAGACGGTGAGTCCAGTTACCATTCTTTCCGTTTAACGATAGATATAATCGAATGTTGGACATCTGGTTATTATTTTCTTATCGTACATGCTGTTTCAATAAATTTGATCATAACTTGTAGACGAATGACTACAATTTGTAACCACATTCAACTCAATTTAGTACTCATTAACGTTTTATAGAATTTTTATCGCAAATGAAAGTTGACACAGTTTTAGCTGCCACATCAATGTGTACACATTACGCTAAAACACATAGTCGGTCACAACTTGAATAACTGAGTAATCAAAGAATTTTTACAACTGTGAAGGATTCTAAGTTTTCTTAGGGTTGGATATAGAGGCTTTATTCATCAAGATCGAATAAGTATAAAATAAATACCCATATCCTCTCTGAATATTTAACCTTTACAACAAGGCAGTGAAGCACTAATTTATTCAAGTTGATAACTAAACTCCTATCCTTAGTTAATAAGAATCAGGCAGTAATACAAAGAAAATCGATACTAAACAATATGTCAATGTAAGTCACTAGGTAATAAGTAGTACAAATGAAGAAGAAAATTGAAAAGATTATTCTCTTTGTCACAACACTGTATCTATATGGAATTTTTTTTAAAGTAGTAAATAGAATGTAAACATTGAAAACAATAAAACAAATCACTTTTCCTACTTTGATACACACCGAAACGATGATGATAACACACCGAAGTATTGCCGTATCGCTGTCAATTATTTAAATCCAAATAAAATCGATATAAAAAAGAATAAGTGTGCTAACAGTTAGTCATCAAATCTCTGTTCAACACACCAACGCATACATACACGTAAGCTCGTTTGAAAAGTTAAAAATCAATAAATGAGAAGGTAAACCAAATACTAACAGTACTACTAGTCATAATAATATTGATATTGATAGTAACAATAACCAACCAAACGATACACTGTAAGCTTTATTCAAGATATTTTTAGAAAAATGTGTGATCTAAATTTAGCGGGAGAAACGATCCTGAAAAAGTAGATACAAAATCAGTGCAGTCACGTGACTCTCTTGCTATATATATATATATATATATATATATATATATATATATATATATATATATATATATATATATATATATATATATATATATATATATAATGTCATGTCTGTCGATTATGCAAATGGTTTTCTTTCGTATACAAAAGAAATATTATAATTCTACTACTTATTAGAAGTAATTTAGTAGGAAATCGTTTCCTTCCCACTCATACATACCGTAGTGCACGTCTAGTGCATTTATTTTTAAGAATACTAGAACATTCAAATTTATATCAGAACATTGAATATTTTAACTGAGGATATTTAATGAATGACTTTAAAGGTCACTCTAGCAGAGACTGAAATAGCCAACTAGGTTCCTTTATTTTGACTGTAAAGGCAGATTTTCATCGGATAAAAACGTTTAATTAGTTATTTCAGTTAGGGTTAGGGTGAGCTTTACAGACACTCATGTAATAGGCCGTGTAATAACAGTTATCCATGATTTCGGTCTAATAAATGCACGGCACAAAAATACACCCCACTAACAATAGATATTTCACTAGTGTTTTAATAGTTAAGGTTGATTTTTTTTACAATAGGATATATTTGGAATAGGTTTTTGTCGAAGTGGCTCTAAAAGCCACCTTGACAACAAAATGAAATAACCAATGATACTTTTTTATTGAATGAAAACCTACCTTTGCAATCAACCTAAGTGGCTAGTTCAACCTTTAAAGTCAGCCTCAATTACTTTTTCAAGATATTAGAAAGTAATTAATATACAGTAGCAAGGATTATGCTAACTACAAAGCAGATATACATGCAGTTGAGGCAGCGAAAATATGACGACACGCAGCTCAATATTCAGCTTAATCTACAAGCTTTTTATCGGGTACACGTTTAAACGGTAGGTAATTTGGTTGGCTTTCACATCAACATATGACTTTTACTAAGCTTCATTGAATTTTACTTGTCAGTTTCGATTCAACCCCACATAGGAAACCAGTCATCTGTGTGAGTGGGAGCGATTCAAAGTTGTTACAATACTTCTTAGATTCATTAATTGTCATCCCTGGAATCAAGTCTATGCAGGAAATTGAGAACAAATCAGAATATCATTTTCTTGTTGAGTACAAAATGCTATGGTTCTGTTGAAAGGTCAGTCAGGTAAAGGAAAACAACTTGAAATGGCTAGTATACTGATCTCCAAAGTTCGATGGCGCCTAGTCATTCACTTTGCACATAAATTAGAAAATTTTGTAGACACAATACAATGGACGAAATGATGAATTCTTCGAAAAATGCTTTTTCAGTATGGTTAGGCATCAAGATTCACCGCAAAGAACATGAGATCGAAACAGCAACAAGAACGAGTCCTTACTATTGTCAAGATGAATTCAAAGTGGAAAACGCCAAAAAACTGAAAGAATTAGAAAGACATTCTACGCTGTTGAATTGTGGACGGTTTCCTATACCCAACAGTTGAATCAACAAGGTATCAGGGATAAATTTCTGCTTTGAATCAAACCTTGTCCTTCCCTATAGAACTGGTTATGTAGGTTGAATGAAATGCAATCTCTTCATAAACATCTCGAGCACTACTGCCGTGTCTGACTGTCCAGAGGAGAATATTTTTCAAGTGACAGATCCATTCTATTCACTCGCTCAACTTTGATTATTTTGATTCAGCATAGTTTTCTTTCGAAAACTTATACAAACCTAAACCGAACAGCTCAAAGAAGTGTAGATTTGTCCAACAGAAAAGGCGATAACAAACATGCAATTAGAGCTTGAGTTATGCATACAAAAGAGGCAAATCTCGTTTTTTACAATGAACATAATCTTTCTTCAATATTTATGTTATCCTTATTCACTGATTATTGGTACTGTTTTTTTTTCTTCTTTACGACTTTTATACTTTTGGATTTATACATGGTAACTCTGATTTCTCGTTAAGATTTCGTAATATTTTGTTCCGATTTTTAATATTTTTTTAAAATTAAAAAATCTTCATTGTGACCAACTACTGTATGCTTCATTCTGTACACCTTATGATTACGCAATCTCCTTCGAATTCTAAATACAATCTTCTATTTCCACCTAGAAGATCCAATTTTGATGATTTATAACACTCTTTAATAGACTTACTTGTTCATTGTAATTATAAATATGATTGTACAACCTTATTGGATTATTGTGTGCTCATTTTAGTAAGTTATTTAGCCTTCTTTTATTGATTTGTTCTCGTTAGAGGTGAAATCTACTTTATGATGTTGCTTGTATTATCCCATTGTTGATTTGACCGAACTGACCGATCTCTATTGGTATCTGGGCTCTCGTCTGGATGCCTTGATGTTGCTCATCATTTCAATCCTATAGTTATGATAGAGAGCTGTTAGGAATAGAATCCAGGATGTGAGTTTCGCTCTACTCGTGATTCGTCAGCTGGATGTATCTACCATCCAATGAGTAATGTTACTCTCACTAAGTCAATTCAATCAACGAAGGGATAATACAAGTAACATCATAAAAACTATATCCATTGCACAATAAGTGGCTATTGTAACTTAGTTGACTAGTGGATAACACCATGGCGTTTGAAGCAATCGCTTCCGGGTTCCAGTCTTGGTGGGGACAATATCACTCACTGAGATGCTGGTACATCTAGCTAATGAGTCCTAAATCAGATCAAATATGCGTCCATTCAATATAAAGAAATAATAGTGACAACAATTCACTTCATTTCATTAGTATACTCACTAATTTCATGACGATTTAGCTAAGAATACAAATTTCAGTGTTTAACAGATATTCGAATAAAATAGTACTTTCATTTTAATGCATATACAATTCGCCACTTCAACTAATAAAATCTACACAGAAGTTTTATAAGTTCAGTAGAAAAAAATGTCAGGGGGGCGTTTGAAAGCCAACTTCCATTGAGTGCTACAGTACTGCACTACATTTCTGCAAGCAACCTTTCAGTATTCACAAATACAAAGTGTTGGTTTACAACACAGATTGGAGTAGAATATATTAGAAGTGGAGTTGTATTATTATTATTATCTGTCCCTTGAGTTCCTAGTGGAACATAGAACTTCAGTAGCACGCCTCCACTGCACTCTCTTCTCTGCAGTCTTCTTAACCCAGCTCCACGACTGCCTACTAGCTTTCATTTCTTCCTCACACCATCTCCCCCATATCACTCTCAGTTCAGATGTCCAACTCGTCGTTTCCCCTCGATGGAGTGGCATGACGCGTAATGTTCCAAAATGGTCTTCTCAGTGTATGTCCAATCCATCTCCACTTTCTTCCGTATATTTGTTGGGCGATGGGTTCTTGCTTCGTTGGTTCCTTGTTAGCCAGAGTTCCTCCTTACTTATTCTTATTATTGTGGCCATCTGATCTCCATCTTCAGTGTCAGCATCGAGTGATCGTAGGTGGCAGCTGTTGAGGCTGTCTGTCTGCAGTTTGTTGGAAATGCTTTTCGTAATGCGCCAAGCCTGTGAAGCATCACAGAGAAGCAGTGAGTTGACTGACTTGGTGTTGAAAATCCGGATGTTGTTCAGGCTTTGTGGTGAGTGGAGTGGAGTGGAGTACAGTGCAGTAGATCTGCCCACTGATTTCAGGTTGATGAAAGAAGTCGTGTCTTGCTGTGTTTCCGTTGCTGGCTTTGACATCCTGATCTGTGCCTGTGCTGCCTGTAGTTGAGACGATGCTGTCTAGGTAGGTAGATGAAAGAGTCAACTTCGTTTAGATTTCTCCTGTTGACGTCTATTGGTGCTTGTTGTTGATTGGGTATCTTCATATGTCACCTCTGTCTTCTCTACGTTCACGTGATGTTGTTCCCACTCACTGAGGTGCAGCTGGCGAGTCCCAAGTAGGGCGGAACGCGCGTTCTGAATTCTTCTGCTAGCCACAACCAAACAAATTACCTTCATTAACATTCAGGCAATATCAGGGCATCCACATAGGTGCCCATATGATAACATAGGTTAAACAATTCGATCCAATAATACGACGGAGAATTCCAAGTATGTCAATAAAAAACTGATATTACATTTAGACTATGGTAGACGGTTTCAAGATTGAATAAACACCAGTGAACAAAATGTACCCTTACCTAGCTAGATCTGGTGGATTCCAACAATGATCCCTAGAACTGTTTTGATTACTATTAGATGAAATAACACCACTGAATGTTATCGAATTATTAAGGCATAAATCACCGGCTGGACCATTGAACAGATTTCGTAATGGTAGATACTAAACGGGGAAAGAGAAAGAAAACAACAAAAGTTAGATAGCAAAAAGTATGGGGCAAAACACACCGCTTCTCCAGCAACTGGAATTCCTAAAAATAATACATTCAGAGGAAAAAAAGACAAAAACAAGAAAAATACTCGTCAACACAAATGTACAAATTTTTAGGTGGTAACAATGAAAACAACACTATTTCGTAATATAAAAGGAGCACTAAAATACGCAGCATATAATTCAGATGCTTTTTATATGGCAAAGCAGACAAACCAATGAGAAAACCGACTGTAGTGTAAAAAAAAACAACACAACCCTCAGATGTATAACACGATACATAAATGTATAAATTAAGACATGAAATTGGACAGTACAAAGAAAAACAACCGTTGACCAGAAAAAAAAAACAAAATATCAGCAACAAAAAACCAAAACAACAGTGGGTGCAAATCATAAACACATATTTGCATGTGTGTGTATGCGTGGGATCGCACTTAAATACGCAAAGAATGTTATTGTTCTTCTAGACTTAATGTTTGCATTACTAATGGATTATGTAGTATAAAGCCACACAAAAGGAAAATGAAGAAGGGAAGTAAAATTGAGGATCAATAAAGCGTAAGTTTCATTTCTGTATTATTCTCCTCATCGACTTGACTGCTTGCCTACTTACTTACTAATAAGCTTACTGGGTGATAGTTGAAGGTGAAATGAAAATTTGGACCCCAATCGGATTCGTACCAGTGACCACCGAGTTCCCGGCCTGATGGCTTACCAACTTAGCTACCAGGTTCGACTGCTGACCACATTTTCACTTCACTTTAATCACAAGGCGGGGTTTCGCCAGACTACCATGCGAATTCGTGACGCGTTACTACCGCTTGATCATATTCACACTGGCTGTTTAGTCACGACTTCCCATCCGAATCCAAATCGAACTGAATCAGAGAAGGTGAGCATAATATTGATTATCATTTTGACTATCTGAGATAGCGGTGATTTGATAGACTAGTATTTATACTGGGTGATAATTGAAGGTGAAATGAGAATTTGGACCCCACCGTATTCGAAACAGCGACCACCCTTGGTGATTGAAGTGAAATAAAAATCTCGTCAGCAGTCAGACCTCGAGGCTCACAGTTGGTGGATCACCGGACCGATAACCCGTTGGTCATTGGTTCGAACCCGACCGCGGTCCAGATTTTCATGTCTCCTTCATTCATCAACCAGTATCAATACTAGTCTGCGAAACTATGGCTATCTCAGATAGTCAAAATGATAATTAATAAGTTTACCACCATAAAGTGAAGATCTGACACCGCGAGAACGCAATATAGAAGCCTATACGGAGTTAGAGAGAGAGAGAGAGACAGAGAGAAAATCAGTGAATTCCATTTATAACCTAAATACCAATGGCACAGACTAACTATTCATCCCATTGTGTAAATACGGAACACATAACAAATTATAAAATCAGGCAATAATCGACTGTACACGTAAAAACACACACACAAAGCAACATAGAATCAATGTGGCCACCAATTGTTAGTTTCATCAATAGTTAAGTCATAGACAAGATTGCAGAGGTTAATCAGTGAAATCGGTGTTAGGGCAAGACGAAAAAAAATTCTTCCCATTGACTAAGACGAAAGTATGTAGAGTAAAGAAACTAAGTCTATTATTTGGTTTTTATTTTCACTATGCTATAATCATTCTGAAAAAGATCAAATTTGTTAATTAATAACTAAATGGAATACTACTTCAAGACATTTTTAAAGCCGGTCAATTTTAACAAATTCGATTGATACATTGATTGGTCACTAGAGAGTGACCAACATCGAGTACGGATCGAATTCTATCGATCATGTTACAATATGGTCACCAAACTAGGAGATATAACAATTGTGGTACACTTTGATAGATGTTAGCTGGATGGAGGTAATCGATATAAAGCCCGGAATAGTTCAGTGACAAGGTCATTTGGCTGCAGCACTGAGTGACACAGATTCAAATTGTTCAAGGGATATCAGTCTTCTCAAGGTTGCAGATATGGAATACTGATGAGTGCCAAAGAGTACGAAACAGCTTCTTGCCAATTGACTCCATCCAACTAGTATAAACAAATAATGTCTATACATGACTTTATTGAAGGCGCAATACTGAATATGAGCGATGGTAAATCATATGGGGACAATTAGATGCAACACTATATAAACATTACAATCAGTGCATATTTAAAACACAAACTTAAGCAAACAACAATAAAAAACCCACTTCAATCATAGTTCATAATGATCTGTTGATTAACTTAAATTGAATACTCCCATTTAGAGATTAAAAAATGACTGATTCATCGAAGAAATATATTCCATTTCAATTAGGTCATCGTCCTGGGCTCTCCACTAATATTATATAAGCTTAAAATACAATCAAATTACCAATCAAGTGGTGGTGGTGCGGGGTTAGTGAACAATAATTATAGATTTTGAGTAAGTCATGAAGATGATCAGCCTTAGAAATTAAGATGCAAATAAACAATAGAGAAATTAAAATTGAAAATATGAAGCAAGTAATTCTTAGGTAGATGGAGTCATTTTTGATGAATGTTCAATTATAAACAACAAGTGGTTACGTAATAATGGGAAAACAAGTGAATCTTGGTTGTATTATGTTCTCTGACCTGGATTGCATAATCCTACGGCTTTCGTCGTCTTTCTACACAACATCATCACCACTAACTTCAGTATAAACTGACCTATCAATATCTCTCCGTGACTGACTTAGTAGCTTACCCTGACGAAATTGATTATTTCCTTTGATTGTTGAGTCAGTGACTGACGGCATAGATTTTGCTGTTGGCCGTTCCTCTATTTCACCTCTGACCTTTCTGTCGTTTATCATTCTTCTCATTGGTTGGTAGATTGGGTCTATGCGTATACATCTATTGATTGTTGACTGACGTGAATGCCAAGCTTCTAGGAATTCTCTGATATTCTTCTGTATGTTCCCTCTCTCCATCCAAGATTTCTACATTGTCAAAATTCAATTCATGTCCACAATCATCCACGTATATTGAAATGAATGATGAAATGTTGTATGTGACGTTTAATAACCAATTGGTGTTAATGTAGACGAATGCGAAGACGAAGAGGGTGACCACTTTGTCCAATGTAGTATTGACCACAGTTGTTGTAGTTGATTTAGTAAATGATATTGGGTTTGTCTTCTTTGGTTGTTGCTTCCTTTGGTCTGGCTGGATAATAGTGTTTGGAGGCAATTTGTTAATTTATGAGTCCACACCAATTCCAAGTGGTCTCAGTAATCTTGTCGTGATTTCTGTCGATGGCTTTGTAGCTGATGTTCTACGAGATAGGCATCGTCTGACAAGGTTTCGTGGGTAGTCATTCTTCTCTGTTATCCAGCCAGACCAAAGGAAGCAACAACCAAAGAAGACAAACCCAATATCATTTACTAAATCAACTACAACAACTGTAGTCAACACTACATTGGACAAAGTGGTCACCCTCTTCGTCTTCGTATTCGTCTACATTAACACCAATTGGTTATTAAACGTCACATACAACATTTCATCATTCATTTCAATATACGTGGATGATTGTGGACATGAATTGAATTTTGACAATGTAGAAATCTTGGATGGAGAGAGGGAACATACAGAAGAATATCAGAGAATTCCTAGAAGCTTGGCATTCACGTCAGTCAACAATCAATAGATGTATACGCATAGACCCAATCTACCAACCAATGAGAAGAATGATAAACGACAGAAAGGTCAGAGGTGAAATAGAGGAACGGCCAACAGCAAAATCTGTGCAGTCAGTCACTGACACAACAATCAAAGGAAATAATCAATTTCGTCAGGGTAAGCTACTAAGTCAGTCACGGAGAGATATTGATAGGTCAGTTTATACTGAAGTTAGTGGTGATGATGTTGTGTAGAAAGACGACGAAAGCCGTAGGATTATGCAATCCAGGTCAGAGAACATAATACAACCAAGACCATCCACTTGAACCACAAATATTCTTTACCATTTCTCAACACATTTTCAAAACAAGCAACAAATGTGGACAAAGAAGGGTTTAATGAATTCATAAACTTCAGTAGTACTCGTCAACTACATACTCTACTCTACATACTTGGTTTTTATATATACCGTTAAACAATGGAAAAGAACATACATAAATATATAACATAGAGTGAGATATAGATTTAGGTGTAACACCACAGAAATGAACAGTTTTTACAGGTCAAGTGGTAGTGCAAAGTGTATAAATAGCTGTTCAAAGATGAATGGGTTACATGATTAACTATGAGTTTAGATAATAGTGGATTTTGGGTAGGGAAATAATGATGGTAATAATCATTATAGTGGTAATTTACTTGGTTTTGGCTAGCACAAAAATCCAGGACGTGTGTTTCGTCCTATTCAAGACTCGCTAGCCGGATGCACCTGCACCTCAATCTCAATGTTGTTTTCCACCAAGACCTGGACCTCGTACATATCGCTTCAAACGCCACTAGACTACGGAGGTATGATAGCCACCTCTTGTACAACGGGTATTAGTCATTAATATTTATGGATATGCTTGTAATGATAGTAATGTTGACACAGAGGTGAGAACAGAATCGACTGAGCGTCGACCACGTCATTCAAAACAAGATAGTGAATAATACCTATGCGGACATCATAAGAAAAACCAGGTATATATTGACATGATTAATAATGATAACAGTGATAATAGGAATAAGGTTAATTAGACGAAACAAATCAAGAAAGGAAAGCAAAATATAAGATGGAAGAAATATTGAATATGATTAGACGATGTTGTAATTTCTACCATGGCAGATTCAAGCTGACTATCATTTCCTTCTGAATGAAGAGGTTTAGTTTGACAACTTGAATAGCGCAGGCTTCTACATATCCAAGCAACTTTTTACTTTGCTGTCTACTGATAACCATAAAGGAATTACAAGTATAAATATCATA